TTTCCATCTTCTGAGATCTTCTTCAATTTCTTTCTTCAGAGACTTGATGTTTTTCTCAAACAGGTCTTTCACTTGCTTGGTTAGTGTCATCCCAATGTACTTTATGTTATTAGTGGCTATTGTGAAGGGTGTTGTTTCCCTAATTTTTTTCTCGGCCTTTTTGTCTTTGGTATACAGGAGGGCTTCTGATTTTTTTGAGTTGATTTTGTATCCTGCCACTTTGCTGAAGGTGTTTATCAGCTGGAGGAGTTCTCTGGTTGAATTTTTGGGGTCGCTCATATATACTATCATATCATCTGCGAATAGTGACACTTTGACCTCTTCCTTTCCGATTTGTATCCCCTTGATCTCCTTTAGTTATCTTATTGCTCTGGCTAGGACTTCAAGTACTATGTTGAAGAGGTATGGAGAGAGTGGGCAGCCTTGTCTCGTCCCTGATTTCAGTGGGATTGCTTTAAGTTTCTCTCCATTGAGTTTGATGTTGGCTATAGGCTTGCTGTATATTGCCTTTACTATGTTTAGATATGTGCCTTGTATTCCTGATCTCTCCAAGACTTTAAACATGAATGGGTGTTGGACTTTATCAAATGCTTTTTCAGCATCTAAGGAGATGATCATGTGGTTTTTCTCCTTCAGTTTGTTTATGTGGTGGATTACATTGATGGATTTCCGTATGTTGAACCACCCTTGCATGCCTGGGATGAAGCCTACTTATGACCCAGTTATTAAGTATCTGTTTTACATATGGCTAATGTAAGTCATATTTACATATTTACATAACCATATTTACATATGGTTAATGTAAGTCATTGCTGTTCTTTTTTAGCTCCCTTTAAGTCTTGTGCCTCTATGGGCCTCCACTCAAATTTTTGATAACCTTGTGGACACTGTTTCTCTGGTTCTAATTCCCTTATCGTAGCTAGCACTGTCTTCATTAGGGTTTCTAATTGCTGTGAGAAAACAGGATGAATCAAAGACAAGTTTGGGAGAAAAGGGTTTACTTGGCTTACACTTCCATATTACTGTTCATTACTGAAGGAAGTGAAGACAGGAATTCAAATGGCAGGAGCTGATGTGGAAATCATTGAGGGGTGCTGCTTACTGGCCTGCTTTTTACGGTTTGACCAGCCCGCCTTCTTAGAGAACCCAGGAGCAGCATCCAAACGAGAGCACCACCTGCAACGGGCAGAGCCCTCCCCTCCTTGTTCACTAATTGAGAAAATGGCTTATAGCTGGATCTCATCAAGTATTTCCTCAACTGAGGCTCTTTCCTCTCTGCTGATTCATGCTTATGAAAAGTTGACACAGAACCAGCAAGTATAGGCAGGATGGGTGGAAAATGAGGAATTAAAAACAATTTTTCACTGAATAGGGAGTAAGGGTGAATTTGACCCCTGCTGTTGTTCTTCAATGGCAAACTGTATTTGTTAAAAGATCTGGAAAAACTGTCAGTCATTTTTGAGCTTTCTAACCACAAAAGCCTACATAAAGTTCTTGGCACTAAAGTTCCTCTCAGCCTTTTGCCAAATTTTTCATTAAAGCTATCCCTGAGTGCTGTCAGGGCAGAATGAGAACACAACTCTGCTCAGTCCTCTACAGTAATCTAAAGAGTTCCTTGTCTTCCAGTCTTCCATTTACACAAAATCTGGGTTCATGGACTAAAAAAAAAAAAAAAAAAAAAAAAAAGAATCTCATAGTTAGTGGATATAAATTGGATTTAATGATTTATCAAGAGGCATTTTAGCTTGGATTTTATTACCAGAGTTATAGAGAGAAACTGAGGGATAGAATAACACGTAGGTGTTATGGAAAAGACAGCAGAAGCTTGGGAAATAGGCTGACATGAAATCATCTTTCAGAGATTCATTAAGAACGAAAGGGCCTGGTGAACACAAGGAAGAAGGCATAACTGCTTGTTGAGGTGGGAAAGCATCATGAGGGGTAGCACATCAAACCAGAGGCAGTGTGACAGGGCCACAAGGTAGTATAGCATTATAAACATCATGGAACCACGGAAGGATAAAGCTTAGAGTGAAAGTAGCATGGCGGGCAATATGAATAGCATAGAGAAATAGACCTGATGATGAGAAGTGTGTGTGTGTGTGTGTGTGTGTGTGTGTGTGTGTGTGTGTGTGATTGGCCAACATTTAGAAGTAGTACTTTTATAACATTTTACAGTGAGGAGCCTGGCCACGGCTATAATCTAATTTCCAGGTGAGCATCAGATTTTTTTTTTCCCCAGAAGACAGAGATAAGCAATCACATTTGTTTTGAAATATCCATAGGTCCTAGGGACTAGAGCAGCATGGGATGAGTGGCATGACCTATTATAAATTTTAAAATAGCAGGCCCATGTTCTAACAATACCTGAATGTGTAAATGGGCTCCTTAAGGAGTGTCTGCACTTACTATGCATACAGTGAATATATTTTCTTTTTTGGTGGCTGCCAAGAGGTGGCTAAGAGCCTCACCCCCTGAAGCAGTGCTCACAGTGTAGTTTACTAGGTTAAAAGTTTAGAGAATTTTTACTTAATAATGGTAGAAGGTGGCTTTATGAGGGATTTTTTTTCAATGTAGGAATGAGAGGAGAATGTGAGAAACTCAAGGTTATACATCAATTCAGTGCTAAACAAGAAGTTCATTTATCATCTTTAATATCTTTTCCAGTTTTCTTTGTGTCGCTGTGACAAATTCAAGTGCAACTTGAGTGAGGTGTAAGGGCTTATTTCAGCTCACACTTCCAGGCTGTGTCCATCATTGAAAGAATTAAAGGCAAGGACTCAAGGACTGAAGCAGAAATCATGAAGGAACTCTGCCTCCTGGCTGGATCACTGATTTCTGCTCAGCTAGATTTCGTCTGCGTAGGGTTGGCACTGTTCATCTGGACTTTGCCCTCCTACATCAACTGGCCAACAAACAAGGGCAGCTACAATGACTCACAGTCATGCTCGAAGGCCAGTATGATCCAGGCCATTTTTTAATTAAGATTTCCTCTTCCAGGGTGTGTCAAGTTGACAATAAAATTTGAGCAGGCCATCTGCTCGATGTGTGTTAAGGGAAATCCATTATCTTTAAGGCTTTATCAATGGTGCCTGAAGCTTCTTGACTCACCAGCAGAACAGGAAAACTAGACCCACGTTGAAGGGATGTATTTCCTTCCCAAGCTTTCCTTGAAGTCTTTAATTTTTCATGTCTTTGTATCTTGTAGAAGGGGACGACTGTGGCCTGCATGGAAGACAAATCTGAATCCGCTATGTGTCCTCACTACTGTTCTGTTGAACACATCCCATTTCCATAAATACAGAGTTGTAAGATTTTGATTTACCCAGTTCAGACAAGTAGTTTCCTTCTGCATAGAAAGTCAGGTACAGTGCGCAGCAGCCCTTCAGCTCATCAGCTTCCAGACCTTACGATTTCTTGGAGTTTCTGGAAGAGAAGCACAATGACCAATCATAGAGAGATACACAGATTCCCTGGGTTCCTTTTAGTGAGAAAAGAGAATTATTTATTTTAGTTTTATATACTTAAAGGGGAGAGCAGGGTTACTTGGTTACTGGGAGTGTCAGGCCTTACCTAGAGTTTCAGAGGACACCAGGGCTCAGAGCTCCCTCTGAACACACTTCTGCCAAAAGGAGTCCCGGAAGGAATTTTCCTCCTGGCCATCACATTGCACTGCAGTTTCCTGAAAGACATGAGAGCATCAAGGGAAGGATTAACTGTGACTCAGTTGACCCTGAATTTAAGTTTACACCTGATGAAAGCTTTATAGGCCATGTGTTACAGCAGCATAAAGTTAGTAAAAGTTTGTGGTATCTGGGCTTCCCTCTGGCTATACGCTCAGTCCGTTGTCTGGTATGCCACTGGCTACCCCTCCTAACCTAGGCTGTAATATAAACCTGTCTTACTGAGAAGGTGCCTGAGCGCTCTGTCCTGTTCTCTGCGGTTCTCTGGTCTGAAGATCTCGCTGCAATGGGAAAACGCATCTTGCTGCTCCTGCTGGGCCTCTCCTTGCTGGCAAGCTCCCTGCAAGGTAAGATCCTGGCTGATGGTAGGGGTTGATGATGTGGGGAGACATACTGATGCCCTAGAATAGGGATGTTGGGGATGTGAGGAGCAGGAAATAGGATAACATTCAAACTGATCTCTGCTTCAATCCCATATCCATTTTCTCTTCCTCCCCTTGCCTCTTCTGCACACTCAAGGAGGCTTCCCTCCCCCTTTTCTTTGTCATGGTTCTGGTATTCTTTCTCTTGCTCTTTGTCACACTGTCACACTGTTTTTCTCCTCCTCCTCTCCACCTTTTTTTTTTTTTTAACCTCTGTTCTCTGGCATGTCCAAAGACTCTCAAATCCTTGAACTCAAATGTGAATTGGCCTAAATTTGGATTGGAAGTGGGAAGGGAGGGTCATTAATAGGATGAAAACAATGAAAGAGTGGATTTGTTCACTCCCATGTGACAGAATACCAAGTTTTAAAAACAGGATTTCTGTGAGAAAACAGTCGGTCTTGCTCAGCCCTTATTAGCCATCATAGAAAGGAATGCCTGCTTGGACAGTCTGTTTCAACAGCCTGTTACCTTAGATTGTTAGTCTTGGGAAAACACTTTGAGGAAGGAGAGACTGCAGACCCACAAAGCCCCCTATGGCTGCAACAATTTTGTCATTCCCAAGCCCCTCACCAGACTTCTAATAAAGGATCAAAGCCATTTTCTTCTTGTGGTAGCCCTTTCGATTTCCTGTGAGAGATGGGCTGCCTCTAGGTGTGTATTTATTTTGCTAATAAATACAATTCTGCCTGATGAGGGCAGACTCTCTTCTCTTTCTGCTTTCTGTCTCTTCCTGCTGCCTCAGAAACTTTACATTTGGTACCAAAAGTCCAGGAAGAGCGTCAAAGTCCACTGGTGGCCTAGGCCTTTCTCTGTGGATCTCCCTAATTCTCATCTGCTCCAGTGCTTGGCAGGGGCATCTCTCTCTCTCTTTCAAGCAGCCATTGCTTTTACTCTCCTCTGCCCCCTTCTCTCCTTTTACTTTTTTTTTCCTGTCTTACTCTGACACAATCTTATGTTTAGATGGAAGGCCAGTTGTTCTTTTAACTAGACCACATATTCAACACAGCCAAAATGTTGGGACAAGGTAACTCCTGGTGTCTAAGTGAGAGCACCCCATTTAGGTCTTATTCTTTTTTTTATCAAATATTCCAGGACTTTCCACAGGCCTAAGAACATGATTTGGTCAAAAATTTCAGGAATTTCCCACATACACAGCAGCATCTTGACTCCTGGAAGGCACTAAGTCTGGGGATGCCCTCCTACCGTCAAGGCATGTTTGCTCAGCCCCAAACCCAATGGACTCATCTGTGGCTGGATTTGACCTGTTTTTATCTTGGTTCTGCACAGCATGAGTCACAATTTCCATACCCCTAGCCTGTCTGTGGGCTAATCTAAGAAAAGCTTCATGTGGGAGACTTCAGACTGGTCACACTCGCTCAGCTCTTAGACCAAATCTGGCCTCAATATACACTGGACAATGTCTACTTCTTGGTGGGAATTTGAAATCTTACATTTTGCTATCTAAATTGATTTAGGTAAATTCATAAGACAGGAGAGTGGTCCGAGGACGAGATGATCACCACAGCTTATCTTGTTCCTCATATCTGCCACTCATTTCCCAATTATGGTCCTGCCCAGAACCCTAAATTAACTCCCAACTCCCTTCTCCCAAAGGGCTCTCCCAACTCACAGAAAGTGAACCATAAAATCAAGATACAGTCCCAGCTGAGGTAGCCTCTCACACAGGGTGAATGCTGGCTGTGGAAACCACACAGCAGTGGGGCAGCCCTTCTCATTTTTCTACTTATTCCAAGACCTCAGCTATCCCAGCAGCCTCGCCAGTTAATGAGTTCAGGACTCCATTTCAGAAAGGCCATGGGGTGAAGGGCAAGTTTTTCTATGGAATGCAAGATCTTCTGTGCCAGTAAAGCCCCTTGGCTGTGCAGCTTGGACTTGGGAGGAAAGCCACAATGAGTTCCATAACCTGTAGCTTCTACTTGGTTCCCACGCTTGTTCACCCTAACTTGATAAATGACCAAATTCTTTTTTTTTTTTTTTTTAAAGATTTACTTATTACAGATACAGTGTTCTGCCTGCACCCTAGAAGAGGGTATCAGATCTCAGTATACCTAGAAGAGGGTATCAGATCTCAGTATAGATGGTTGTGAGCCACCATGTGGTTGCTGGGAATTGAACTCAGGTCCTCTGGAAGAACATCCAGTGCTCTTAACCACTGAGCCATCTCTCCAGCCTGACCAAATTCTTTAATGTGTTCAGAACTATGCTTGCAGCCCTGCTAAATGCAAATATAATTTATTTATAGTACGAAGCTTTCAGGGAGACACCAAATTATATCTCCCATCGTATGGTCCTCAGTCTATGTTCTCAAAGATAGGCCTAACACAAGTAACTCAAAGCAAATTTAAAGTAAACTTTAAGTTTTTTTTTAAAAATGTAAAATAATATTCAAAATCAGGTACACTGAAAAAAATCTGGTTATAAAAATCAGTGAGTTAAATTTATAATACATTGCATGGTAAGGCATCTTCTGGCTGAAGTAGTAATGTTTTTCTTGGATGGGACACAAGTTCACCGGACTAGAATGCATCCTAGCCATGCACATGGAAATAAGAGCTGCCAGAAGTCTGCTGCTCCTATCTATGCCTGTGTAGGCCAGATCAGTAACCTCCTCCTTATCGATAGAGGAGATGAATCACTCCTCATGTCTCATGTGACAGGGGTGTGGGTTCTCTTCTCCAGTGGACGATCTCAGGGTCTGCACCCACATCTTAGATGTCTAAATAGCAGAGAGGCCAGCAGCAATTACTCTGCCTCAGTGTCTCTCAAACTGACATATGAGGATGCTGTGGACAGGGGTACCTAAGCTACCGCTCGACTGGTATGGGATTTGCATGCTAGTTCAATGAGCCATGCTGGTTACCTCGGATTTCAATTCTTTCTCTTGTAAAAAGCTAATACTCTAACCACCCACACTCCATGATTAAAGGAGGCTTTTGGATACTCTGTCATCAAACTTACTAACTTCTTTTACAAAACTTCCAGGCACTCATTCCTTTGGCAGGAGTCTGATGAAACAAACAGTTTACGGTGTCTCAATGTTCCTCACAAACTGTGCAGCTATTACCTCCTGACTTACGTTCTAGATCTGCCATTTGTTAAGTTTCATTGTGATAGCTTGGATGGACCCTCCTCTGAGGCACGCTGACTGATGCCTCTTCTACACTGCCCTTTTCACCAGACTGAGGCAATTTAAGAAATATCTGCCCCTGCACCCAAGTACAAGCCCCTGAGATCATCTGAACTGGGTTATTAATGGGCCATGGGCCATACAAATCATCTCTCTTCTTGCTACATGGGGCGTGTTTTCAGGACTCAGAACTAAAACAGCTGGGCTAAAGACTTCTTTGCATCAATTAACCTCTCTGTCTCACAAGCTCTTAGAAAACCATAAAGAAATTTCAGATCAGCCTAACATCCTTCAGGATCAGCTGTGTTCTTTGCCTGTTGCAGCACTTCTAGGTTAAAACACTTTAGATCTGCATACTGCTAAGGATGGGATTTGTAACACCCTCCTCCAGTGATGTTGCTTTTGCACCAACAAATCCTAACTGGTTGAGACTCAAGGACCAGGCAAAAAATTCAGCCATAAGCCTCCTATGGGCTTTTGGTTTCCTCCCACCCTGAGTCCTCATCTTGATCACTTCTTTCTCCCTATTATCCTCATACTAATGTTTTTACTCACTGACCTTCCCCTTATACCCAAATAAAATGTGCCCCATAAGCTCTCCCAGTGGCACCTACCCTACAACAGCTCCATTTGATCCTGACTCATCTGCAAAAAGATGTCTTAGATGCTGTAGGAAACTCTGGATGCATAGGACTGCTTTCCCTTTCACCTCAGGCCAGAAACAATTCTTTATATTAGTCCTGTCTTTTCTCCTGCTCCTTTCCTTAAATACTCCATAGCTCTCTGTTGTTTCTAGTAACTTACTTTGGTACAGCACTCCTGGTAATAGAACTAGTCCCTGTCACCCTGAATCAGTTAGATCTGGAAGGAAAAATTTCTCTCTTCTACCATCTTCTACTCTTTCCACAAACCTGAAAGTGTTTCTGTCACTCTCTTCCCATTTATCAACTCCACTGGCATCTTTTCATTCTGACCAGACCCGCCCCTCCCAAATAAAGACAGTGCAAGTCCCTGTCCCTATTTGGAAGCTCCTGTTTGTAGATAGCCACCTCCTCTCAGCAGTTCACTAAATCTCTCCCACCTCTAGTTTTCCCTGTTCCTTTACCTTCCTGCGCAATCTCTTAGGTTTAGTGTGTTTGAGCCCTATAATTATTTTTCACAGCAATGACATGTCTATTACATCTGATCAAGTTAAACTCTCCTTCTGCTAAATGACTGTATGGTCTGTCCCTCTATTCAAGGGTTCCTGGACTGCCCCCTCCCAACAATAAATCTCCGCTTGAAGCAGCAGGAAAGCATCACTGTCCACTTTCCCCTTCTTTCAATGTCCAGCCTGGCCCCCAACTCTTTCGATGCTTTTTAGGGTTTGGAATGTCAGAGTGCCTCCATTTTAAAAACAGGATGCCTGTGAGAATACAGATGACCTTGCTCTTCCCTTATCAGTCAACACAGTAAGGAATGTCTCCTGAGACAGCGTGTTTCCCAAGACAGTCTGTCTCACCTTGGGAAATCACTTTCAGAAAGGAGAGTGCACACTTCATAGCACCTAGACTGCAACCCCAAACCCCTAACCCTGTCCTTATAACACGTTGCGGCTAGCCTTTCCCCCTGGCAGGAGTGTCCATTGGATGGACACTCCTCGGAGTCATGCTAACTGCTGCCCCTTCTATATTGCCACATTCATCAGATTGAAGCAGGTTAAAATGATTCCTCCTTGCCCCTGACCACAAAGCCTTGAGATCAGATCACTGACCTCTGAAGGTCCTTTTTCTGTGGGAGAGAGGGTTCCCTTTGCTGTGTATGCCAATAAATACAATCCTTCTGGTGAGGTCAGACTCTGGTTTCTTTCTGCCCTCTCTCTCTTTAGGCTGTCTCAGAAACCTAACACTGTGTGGTGGCTTACGTACCCCACATCAGAGCTTTGTTTTCTCATTCTGATAACCTGGTCTATTCTCAGGGTATGAGGATGAGGAGCCTTCCAACTCTTCTTTAAACTTCCCTTTTCAGAGTCTAGTCCTATGGTCATGACCTTTCATGAGGGGGTCAGCTCAGCATACAGCAACCCCCATCTCTGCCTATTGCTTATTATTTATTAACCAGAGCCACACACTCAACTCCCATTGATACCTGAGCCTGGGCCCTGACTGAACCCCTTACACTGGCTTTTATTTTTCAGCTTTGACATGTTTCAGGTGTGTTAGGTTCAATTCTGATGGGATTTGTGTGAAAGGTGAAGGTTGCTGTAAAGCTAAACCTGGTGAGAAGTGTGCCTCACTCCAAACCATTTCAGGTATGTAAGGTATGGGAGCCCTCAGGGTCATCTTGTTTGCCCTATAGTAACTAACCCATCTCCAGAAGGCTGATGGAAAATGGAGGGACTTGAGGATGTATTTCCTGTAAGAGTAGGGCAAAGGCCCTTTGCTTTTGGTAATAGCTGCCACTGGTTTTTGGTCAGACTAACAAACAATCTATGAAGAAAAAAATGTTTTTGAAAGGTGTCTGGGTGATCTTCAATGAATTTCTGGGTTAATATAGTCTGGTATGTTAAGAACTGGATTCTAAAGTTCTATTCAGCACTTTTGGGAATGGAATTCTACCTGTGGGTCAGATTAGGGGTTGAGGGAGGATGGCCCAGAGAGACCACCTCAGTTATGCTTGTGTGGTAGATATGCCTATTATTTGGGAGCCCGACTCCTTACCGAATCACCAACTCTTTCCACTAATATTTATATTTTGCCTCTTACTCTTCTTCCTATCCAGGTGGCCAACTCCAGTTTGGAAGCCAGAGATGTGCTGACCTTTGCTTCAGTGGGACTGTTGTGAATGGAGATAAGATAATAAAAATGAATTGTTGTGATGACAAATCTTACTGCAATAAAGTCTAAGCCTGATACTTGATTGTACTGTTGTATTTTAGGTGAGTCCTTGCTCCTTCTCTGTGCTCCTGTGGCCTCATAAAGCTGGATAGTCTACTCCTAGCACTGCTTAGTCCTGACACCGGCATATATTTAACACCAACTGTTAATAATTCAACGGTGGCCCTACTTTCTCCAACCTGGGTACACCCCTCTTGATAATACATTCAAATGCATTAGTAGTTTAAACCAATGGTTAGGTCAAAGACATCTACCCCAATCATTTCTGGAAATGGTCTCACAGGGATACCCAGATGCGTGCTTGATGAATCTGTTAGACATCCTCAGTACCAAGAGCAGACTAGGATCAGACATCACAGGCTAAAGGCTTTTATAAATTTGTATAGGCCGTGATATATGTTTGTATGTATCAAAATATAAAAAGTTACATATTTATAAATATTAAAATCCTTATCACTTTTTTTTCAGTGTTTTTCACTGAGCCTTTGAGCATGCCAGAGAGCATTGTCTATTAGATCTGTCTGGAGCCCTCTCGCTGCTTTCTACGTAATGTATTTTAAGTGCTCTTTTTTCTGTCTATGTGTATATTATCACGTGATTGTGAGTGTTCTGCAATGTATTGTAAGCCTCATAAAATTTACTTTTATTAGTTCTGTAAATCTGTTTAGAATATTTTCAATCTAAAACTTTTTACATTTATTAATTGTGTGTAAATGTATGTATTAATTGTATGTATTAATTGCATGTAAATGTATGTGTGTATATTGTTTCCCACGTCAATGACGTGTGTAGGTGTCAGAGTCAACCTGGGCTGGTCATGCTCTTTCCACCACGCTGGTTCTAAAATTTGAGCTCAGTAGTTAGGCTTGGTATTCAGCGCCCTTACATCCTGAGCCATCTTGTTGGCTTTCAGATTTTGAAATCAGATAATTAGGTGGTTGGTGAAATGGCTTAGTATGTAAAGCTCCTGGCTGCCAAACCTGATGACCTGAGTTGCATTTCTGGGACTCATTTCATAGAGGATGGAGATATATTTCCACAGATTTTTCTCTGACCTCCACATAATGACCATTGCAGTGTGGCGTACGCGCACACGCACGCACACACACTCACTTACTAAATGTAATACAAATAAAATCAGGTAATTTCAGTATTATTTCTATACAGTGACTGTTTTTTTTTAAAGCAATTTCTACAGTTTAGCAAATATACGTTTTCCTAACCACCACAATCGAGATTCAGAGTATTTGCATCACCTCGAGAAGACCCTTTGTACCTTTACTGTCATGAAAGCACTACCAACCCATCCCAAACTCTGTTTTTGCACTGTTTCCATGTTAAATAGTTCAATGCATATAATACATGCCCACATTTCCCCCTTTTATTGTTTCTTTCTTTCTTTTTTTCTTTTTCTTATCTTTTTTTTTTTTTTTTTCTTTTGCTGTTTCTGGAGACTAACCCATGACTTTGTGCTTGCTCAGCAAGTTTTCCACCACTGAGCTAAGTTCCACATGTACTTTTCATTATGCTGGGTAGATAATCCCCAACTAATGTGGTATGTTTGAATTTTTGCTTTTTTTGTTGTTTTGCAATTCACATTGAGTAGCCACCTGATGAATACCCTAGGTAGTACCTGTCTTTGACGATAATTAACTAAGGCTCTTTAACTGACACTGCTAGAAAATCTCAACTAGGGTCACCCCCATAGACTCCAGGGAGCCTCCCCTGTCCCAGAGTTGGCCCCAACTGACTTCTATTCTCTCTCCCAGTCCTCTCCCACCTCCCCACTCCCCACTTTCTGCACACCTGATCACCCCCATTACCCTCCCCATGTCCTCTCCCACCCAGTCCCATTCCTCCATCTACTTTGGATATCTATTTTATTTTTCTGTTCTGAGTGAGATTGGAGCATCTTCCCTTGGACCCTCCTTGGGTTTTTTGGGTCTTTGGATATAATCCAAGTAAAAAATGGGGTACAGAGCTAAACAGAGAATTCTCAACAGTGGAACATCAAATGGACGAGAAGCATGTAAAAAAATACTGAGCATCCTTAGTTATCAGGGAAATGCAAATCAAAATGACTCTGAGATTCCATCTTATACCTATCAGAATGGCTTAGATTAAAAATTCAAGTGAGAGTATATACTGGTGAGGATGTGGATAAAGGGCAAAACTCCTTCATTACTGGTGGGAGTGCAAACTTATAAAACCACTTTGGAAATTAATCTGGCTCTTTCTCAGAAAATTGGAGTTAGCTCTATCTCAAGACCCAGATATATACCCAAAAGATCCTCTACCATACAACAAGGACATTTACTCAACTACATTCAAAGTAGCTTTATTTGAAATAGCCAGAATCTGGAAACAACCTAAATGTTTCTCAACCAAGAAATGGATAAAGAAAAATTGGGTATATTTACACATGGAATACTACTCAGATATTAAAAACAAGAAAATCACGAAATTTGCAGGTAAATGGACAAAAACTAGAAAAGATCATCCCGAGTGAGGTAAACCAGACCCAGAAAGACACACATGGTATGTACTCACCTGTAAGTGGATTTTAGCCATATAGTTCAGGATAAAGATACTACAATCCACAGACCAAAGAAGGTAAGTAAAAAGGAGGACTCAAGGGAGGATGCTTGAATCTCATGCAGAAGGAGAAATGGAATAGACAGTGGAAGTAGTTGGAGAGATAGAACAAAGTAGGAGAGGGAGTACAGAGAGGGATGAGGGTGGAGATCAGACCCAGGGAGAGTGGGAGCAGGAATACAGAGGGACTTCAGAAGGAAGAGAAATTGTGGGCAGAGGCTTCTCTGGAGCAAGCTGGAGAGCTAAGAGGTAGGCTTCTGGGAGGATATGGGGGTAACTCTAGCCGAGACTCAATGTAGTAAGGGTCATAGGGACTGAAGAGGAAACCCTCTAACTAGACAGGACTCCTGTGGAGGTAGGGGAACCTCCCCTATCTTTGACCCAAAATTCACCCTACCTACAAAATGTGCAGGGAGAAAGATAGAGCTGTAATTGAGGGAATGCCCAACCAATGCCTGGCCCACCCTGACATCCACTGCATGGGAGAGAGCCAACCCTGCCATTATTAAGGATATTCTGCTATTCTCACAGACTGTAGCCTAGCCTAGCTGTCCTCTTAGAGGCTACACCCAGCAGTGGAGCCAAACAGATGCAGAGACTCACAGCCAAACATTGTGCCAAGGGTAGGGAGTCCTGTGAAGAAGTGAGGGTAAGGGTAGAAGGACCTGGAGCTGACAGTAGCTCCACAAGAAGACCAACAGAGCCAACTAACTAGGATCCAGAGGGACTTGAGGACACTGAAGCACTAACCAAGGAACAGGAATGAATGAAAAATTAATTTAAAAAAAACCATAAACTTGGCTTTTAATCCCAGTACTCAGGGAGGCAGAGGATCACTGTGAGTTCGAGCTTTTCTTGAGCTTCTCTTATTAAAAGCAAACAAACAAAAACTCATTGAAGGAATAGTCCATTGCTATAACCCTTTACTTCTTTTTCTTATAGGCATGATAAAGTTGTATATAAGAGAGTAAAATAGTGCAATTACTTCCAAGAACAAGAAACTCAAAAGTATATAAATCAGAATCTCATAGAACATGCTTGTGTGAGATAGAGGGACACGAGGTCCTAAAACATTCCACTGCTAAAGCTAGTGGTATAAGATTATCCCACAATCAGTAACATATACATTATGATTCTGAAATAAAGTTTCTCCCAGGCACATAAAGAATCTGTCAGAAAGTAGAAAGGGCATTCAGAAGACTGCTCACAACTAGCTTACCTCTCTATCTGGCCACATAAATTGCTTTTTTTTTTTTCCTCACCATACTTTCAGCATGTGGCAAACTTTAATTCTTTTCTTATTTTATCAGTCCGATTCTCATAATATGTCCTGTGTCCTGAAACTGCTTATGCAAAGAATGCTGACTTGGACTTATGTTGGGAGACCGAAGGTTTTTGAATCCACACATCTCCAGGGAAACTAGGAATTTAAGCACACAGGATTGTTTTCTCAGTGGAAAGGATATAAAACCTATTCCTTTATCCGGAAAGCTGGAAACTGGAGATGATTAATAAATAGCCTGGTGATCTGCATTATGTTTTGGGCTAGGCCATGTCAAGCTTCCACAACCAAGACCAGATGTAGCTAGTAGTCTAAATAGCTCTTACATTATTTCTATAGCCAGGGGTGCCCTCAAGCTTCCTCGGCCAGGACCTGAGGTGGCTAATATCTCAAAGACCCCTGTGCTATCTGTATGACTGAGACCAGGCCGGATCCTTCCCTAGGTAGGCCCTTATGCTAATACAGGTAACTTATGTCTAGAACCCATCTTCTTGGAGGAAATAACATGTTCTTTGAGTTGAGGTTCCCTAAGCATGGGGATTGAATTACAGGAGGAACCTTTCCCCCAAATTGTACTATGTTAAAAATATACTGCCAACAAACCTCCTGGAATCAGACTGCTGAAATCTGATTCAGCCTTACGAGGTCAAGCTGAACAGCGTTCATTCTTACCCCTTTGCTAGTTGTTTTCCTGCCTGCCATGACACCTGCACCAACCCGCATACATAGTGCTCTGTATACATTTCTGTGTAGATACAGTTTCCCAATTTACAGTGGTATAATTTGACATTTTTATTTCTTGTTACAAATATGATTCCTGTTAGGTGGACACCTGTAATACTTTTCTCAACTGCAATGAAGCACCTGACAAGAGTCAGGGAACAGAAATGTGAATGCTGGTCCCCAGCTCATTTCCTTTGATCCTTTCTATTCATACAAAGACCCCATTAACTAGATTCTGAATGGACTTCCCCATTAAATCTTCACAACCACACCCTCCTACATACACCCAGAGGCATAATTATCAGGTAATTTTACCTCTGGTCAAATTAACAATGAGGATTAACCATTATAAAACCTTATTTAAGTTTTATTTTTCCTGTCTAGCAATGACTACTTTAGTAAGACTCTTTTAGGATGTTAAGTGGTGTGGTGAGCCTCCCATCTCCTAGTCAGCTATTCCAACTCAGATGGTATTTTATCAAATAGCTTTTGTGTTCCATGTTTTTTGATATAGTTCAGGTTCATTTCAGACAAGAAAGACCCAGCTATGACTTCTGGTAGGTAAGGTGGGTTAAACATGATTTTTAACCATGGATAGATGTATTGCCATATATTACATTAAATGTTAAGAAGTATAAGTAATTCTTTTTTAAATTTTTTATTAATTACACTTAATTCACTTTGTATCCCCCCATAAACCCCTTCCTTTTCCCCTCCCAATCCCACCTTCCATCCCCCTTCTCCATGCATGCCCCTCCCCAAGTCCACTGATAGGAGAGGTCCCCCTCTTTTTCCTTCTGATCTTAGTCTATCAGACTTGGTTGGAGTATGAGTCTCTGGAAAGACCCCTGTGTTCAAATTTTCTAGTTCTGTTGCTCTTCTAGTGGA